ATTAATAAGGAAATGGAGGAAAGAGGGGGAAAAGAATAGATGTGACAAAAAACAGATTAGCATTTTAAGGTATTAATTAAAAGAATGGGAAGTCAGTCCTATTGTTTGTATATTTTTTTCTGGTAGAGTTTTAAACTAATTTTATTATTTTCAATAGGCAGAGATGCTCTGTTATTGCTTTTTCTTTATTTATAGCATTGCTGCCTTTCTGGCTGTGACTACTTTTTGATTTAATAAATTCTCTATAATAATTTAGTGTTCTTTTTTTGTTTGTCTGTTTTGTCTTATGGGATGAAATTGAAAGATAGCCAGCCAAGGACATTGCAGATTATTGATTATTTTATTATAGAATGGAAAACCATCATATTCATTCCTCAGGTACCTCAGGAATCTCATCACTAAGCTAAGGTCAGAAACCATACCATCAAACTTTTGCAAAACTATAACTTCTTGTATGAAATTATTTATTTTGCTAATTAATATCTATACTTTCAATGCATACCTGTATGATTTGACTGATTATGGGCCACTAAGATGCTACCACATAGATAGATTTTATCCATAGCTGTATGATTTAGTTACAAATAAAAATGAATAAATCTCTCTCTAAAAGACATACTTGCATAAACACACAAAGAGAATCATCTATAGCAACTGGCAGTCAATCTCTCTGAAAATAGTATATTAGGATGACTCATATATTACAGTTTAAGTGAACCATGCAGTAGAGTGATGAAATCATCATAAGAAATTATCATTCTGACATCTGTTTTAAGTGAAGGTATAATTTGTCACCTTGCCTGGAATATAGAACTCCATTTTCACTAATATAAAATGACAATATATTTGTTAGTTTTCTAGCTTTGTTCGTGTACTTTGCTTTTTGTTCCCCACCAATAGCTAATATGCAGTTTTTGTCAAGTGGTAACTTAGGAGTAAAATTAATGAGAAGTGTATGTATTACTTGTAGCAATCTTCTTTTAATGCATTTCCTTTACACCTCTCTGCATGACACAATTTGATGATCTGCCTGACTGATTATGTAGCACTTTGTAAAATTTAAAACATATTTTTTTCAGAAATTGAGTTGATGCACATGTTAAAGATTGTCATCTTTAGTGTATGAATGATAAATGCAAATATTTCATGGATCTCTCTCTCTCTCTCTCTCTCTCTCTCTCTCTCTGTTTCCCTCTCTCTCTCTCTCACACACACACCCACACACCATTATTCGTGTTTTATCACACCCGTCACACTTGTATTTTCTTAAAAAAAATTCCAACTGTGCAAAATTCTGCCTAATCATGGGATAAAAGGAACAAGTACAAAAAATGAAGGGAACATATTATCGGAAGTCTTTGATTCTATTTAGTATGTGCTATATCAAATTCGGTGGAAAGTGGACTGATTTTAGCAGGCATCTACAGTAACTCATCTCTGATTCAAAATTCTCTGGAGAGCTCAGCTTTTAATAAGTTGTTTGGGAGCTTAGCACATTTGAAAGGACAGGACATCATGCTCTGCACTAAAAGGCCTTGAAGATTTCTTTGAAAATAGTATCTTACATTTCTGCAAGGAGGAAAGTATTAGATTCAAGGGCTGACAAGTCTGTGAATGACTTTTGCAATTATTATTAGGGCTGTGAAAAACTTCAAAGGGGTGATTTTGGCTTCAAAGGTTCGAAAGAAGCACTTCCTCGGAGCTGCTTTGCGGAGTAACACAGCATCCTCACTTCTAAGACTTAAAGGGATGATCTTTCTTTCCTTTGCTCTGCTTTGAGGGTCCCTTCTCAGTATAGGTTTTTTTGGGGGGATACAGTGGCCAAATATATGTGAAAGGTGCTGCTGTCCTCTTCTGGCATGACTTGCCTGAGGCTTTGGCAAGTAGAGCCAGATGATATGGTGCTCAACCTTCTCCAGCACAGCTTGCTAAAATAGTTGGCCAGTGCTCTTTGGCCAGGCTCTTTGGCCAGGGTTCTTCTGAGGCACAAAATCTGCACAGAAGCCTTTTCTGATATAGAAACCTAAGGGAAAAAATCCTCATGGAAGCAAAGTGTGATGCCAGTTTGTTCCAAGGAAGAGAACACATCGCTTACATATAGATACATAATCGCTTTCTCTCTCAGTCACTTTCTCTCTCATTCATTCTCTTTCTCTCTCTGTCTGTGTCTCTCTGTCTGTCTGTCTCTCTCTCTTTTTCCACTGTAACTTATATGTGTGCTTGAGAACTCCATCATAGAATAGAATAGAATAGAATAGAATAGAATAGAATAGAATAGAATAGAATAGAATTTTTTATTGGCCAAGTGTGATTGGACGCACAAGGAATTTGTCTTGGTGCATATGCTCTCAGTGTACATAAAAGATACATTCATCAAGACCATCATCCGTGAAATGGTCATGTTTAACAAACAAAGCACATTATTTCAGAGCTGTGTGTCCTCTATTATTGTTTTTAAGCCTGTGGTTTTTCAGAATTATAAGCCAGTTGCAATTATTTTCATTTTTAAAAAGCAATGTGTCAGACTGCTGGAAACTTAAGGTCTCTATAAAGTATCTGGCTATTCTAAGTGACTCTCTACAGGAGGACAACAGTACTGGCAGAGCAGGAAGTGATATGACCACCACAAAGGACTAATTTGAGAGATTGAATGTATTCATGTATTTCAAAGTGAATTTGTAACAAGTAGAAGGAGATTTTTCTTACTCTAACTCTTCCTGGGACATAAAATATTTATATATGAGCCAAGTAATGAAATATATTTCCTCTGTATCTCACATTTCCCAAGATTGCAGGCATGTGAGAAGAAACCGCAATAATTTTATACATACAGGTAGTACATGACTGGAGAAGCTTAACTACATTAAGATGGTCTATGTAAATACAGCTGTACTCCTACTTTATGTAGGATTATTGATTCTGTTTGGATGACCTTTAGCCAATACCTGTGGCTCAGCTGCCTGGTACTAACTCCTTGGATACTGAAGGTCGAATTAATCTGGTTTAGTGCCTACATTTTAGAAAGAAACAATGACAAGCTTTTTTCTTGGAAGTTATATAAGTTATATAAGTATATAATCTATCTCAGCATCTTACTTCTGTCTTACTATCAAGCACCATTGAGAGTGTCCTGACGTACGGCATTCTTGCATGGTATGGGAGCAGCTCTGTAGTGGACAAAAAAGCTCTACAGAGAATCATTAAAATTGCCCAGAATATCATCGGACTCCAGCTACCAGCCCTGGACGACATCTTCAAATCTCACTGTTTGAAGAAGTTGCATAACATTCTCAGAGACTCTTCCCATCCTGCTTACAATCTTTTTGGACTGTTGCCTTCTGGCAGAAGATACAGAACAATTAAAACTCGGACCACACGTTTTCTGAATAGTTTTTATCCCAGAGCTATAATTGCACCCAATAATGAACTAAAGGGCCACCATCAGTGAGCTGTTGGACAGTATTACTTGGTCTGTTGTGTGGATGTTTGGGTGGTTTAGGGGTGGAGAATTGTGGTGGGTGGAAGTGTGTTTGGGGATTGTTATGTATGTTGGACCTGGTCTTTGGGTGTTAAGTAAATTTCGTTGTATGGATGTACTGTGTATACATCTACAATAACAATAAAGTTATTATTATTATTATTATTATTATTATTATTAGTAGTAGTAGTAGTAGTAGTAGTAGTAGTAGTAGTAGTAGTAGTAAGCAAAACTACAGGTTATTATGAGAATTGAGCACAAATTCAAACAATTTTTTTCCCTACTCATTACCTTTTTTAACTACCGTATTTTTAGGAGTATAAGACACACTTCCCCCCTCAAAAGAGGGTGAAAATTTGGATGCGTCTTATACACCGAATGTAGCCCCACCCACACACCGACCCGCACCCTTTGGCCTCTTTCCCAGGAATTTATCTCCTTGCAGCAAACAGCAAACAGCCCATTTCAGCTTCAGCAAAGCCTGATTAGCACAAGCAGCTGTTTGTTGGTTGGATCGGCCTTCTGACTCTCAGCTGTTTCAGGGTGCAGGGATTTCCATTGCCTATTGCTGCATGACCCATTTGCTGCAAGGAGGCAAATTGCTAGGAGGCAGAGGCAGATTGTTTTTTCTTCTGCTAATCAGACTGTGCTGAAAATAAAATGAAATTGAAACAGGCTGTTTGCTGTTTGCTGCAAGGAGGCAAATTGCTAGGAGGCAGAGGCAGATTTTTTTCCCTTGTATTCCTCCCCAAAAAAGGTAGTGCATCTTATACTCCTAAAAATACGGTATACAACTTACACTACATAATGATGCTCTAATATTAATAATAAATAATTTGTCTATGCAATTGTATTTTAATTCTTTTTGCACAGTAACATAACACCTAAAATGGTGTGGAGGCTGAAAAAGCGCCGTGCGGAGGCCAAAAACAGCTGAAGGGTGGGGGCCAGTGGGTGGGCGGAGCTTCAGCAACATTCGGTGTATAAGACGCACAGACATTTCCACCCACTTTTTTTGGGGGGTGGGGGAAGTGCATCTTATACTCTGAAAAATATGGTATGCCTCTGCCAATGAAACATGCACATGACATTTACAGGCCAACATTGAACGATCCAAAATCTCCATTTGTCTGCAGGCCCACCAAAGACAGCATTGCTGATGAAGACAGTGCTGTTTCCCACTTATTGCTAAAAATTCTGGGAAGTTCACTCATCTCAAAATTGCCCACATTAGGAAACAGCGGTTTCCTAATAACAAATAGCTCTTAGACATAAGGTGAGATATTAATTGATCAAGTGATGATGTGAGAAGATTCCCAAACAAAATGTTAGTTGAGAAAAATATACACTTTCCACAGACTGCAGAGATGTTTGCTATATAGCACACTGAGTGCACACAGTCTTAAAGATGGGGCTTTGTTTCTTTTCTCCCTGTCCTGAGATAGAAACTTATCCAGTATCTTTTAATGAACAGATGAGAGTTGTATTGGCTTCTTTTAATCACCCTACTAAGATAACTTACATTCCAGGCTCATAGTTGTCAAGTCTTCAGAGAGTATATTAAAATGAATTTGAATGTTACTGAGATTTTGTCTTGTTCTCCATGAGGTGGATGGTACTTATAATCATGGCATGTCTATAGTCATGCAAATCTAGAGCTACCAGAGAACATAAACTACTGTCATCCAGACTGCCTCCAAGATGGCCTACAATGGATCTAAGCTTTGTGATCTTGCCAGAAAGCCCCAGATTATGAAGTCATAAACCTTTGTGAATTTCCTCTCCCAATGATGTCTACATTTGTTTGTCTGTCTGCCAACAAGATAGGCAGTCTGTCTGATAGGTAGCTAACTCTATGAAGATTGTGGAAAGAAGGAAGGAAGGAAGGAAGGAAGGAAGGAAGGAAGGAAGGAAGGAAGGAAGGAAACAAGGAAACATATTTAATTATGTAAACCCACATTTCTTTGCAATGGCTAAATCCACTTCTTTCTTTGCACCTGATACATTCTGATGCAGTTCCAGGTGCACCACACATAATGGAATGTGAATTATGGACAAAAGAAAAAAAACGCTTCTGTTGATACTACATCATTAATGAAATCCTTGGTGCTATTGTTCCTCTACATTATTTCCCAATTTCTTTTCCTAAATAAATTTCCAGTTTGTTAATTTATAATAATTTCTTCTAACACTATATAATTAACTTCGGCTTCTTAATATGCCTTTGCGCTATAATTTCATGTTCAATCAACATTTATTTTCAAAGGCACCCAACTTTATCCCTAGGAGTCTGGTGCATTTGAACGATAAATATACTTATTTTATGGCTAAGATTTGTTCCCTATTTAGCATGCAGTTGTTTCTGTGTGATGTGTGGGGAGGTAAAGTGATGAATTTAAAAACGGAACTGCACTTCTGTATGTATCCTTCTGAGCTGACTATTACCAAAAATAAAATAACCCGTACTGTTGGATTAATTTCTATGCAATCTTATTTCATCACACTACATTTGCCAAACAGATAGGCTGCTTTCTTTCTCACATTTATAAACTAATTCACTCCAGAAAGGTATCTTTGTTCGAATTTAAAGTCAATTCAAATGATACACTAGGCTTGATCCAGTGTTGACTATGGATTGATTAGGTACTTTTACCCAATCAGTTTGGAGCAGGAAAAAATAGTCCCCATTTTTTGTCTGCATTCCATTCATTTCCTTTCAAAAGCTGACACATCCCCCCATAGATTTTTTTCACTTTTTTTAAAAGTATTAAAACATAGGGTTGTAGATTTAATATTGATTATATCAGAAATTAGTGCTGTATTTTCCTAAATGAACAAGTCATCAAAATATATTCCATAATTAATTGCTGTGTTTTTATTAACCCAACAAAAGATTTGCAAAATGAAGGTAGTTCCTGATTTACAAGCATTCATTTACTGACCATTCAAAGTGACAAAGATATTGAAAAACCTTAGGACCATTTTTCACACATTGCAACATTCCCCTGGTTATATTATCGAAATTCAGCACTGGAACTGGTTCATTTTTATGATGTTTGCACTATCCTGGGGTCATGTGATCCCCTTTTGCAAGCAAAGTCAATGGGGATTCAGTTAACAATTGGGTTACTAACAGCTGCAGTGATTCACTTAACAACTGTGTCAAGAAAGGTTGTAAAATGGGGCAAAACTCACTTAACTGTCTCACTTACTGTAGTAACAGAAATTTTGGGCTCAGTTGTGGTCATAAGTCTTGGACTACCCATAGTCTACAAGCATTTGAGTAAACAAAAGATCTTCATCAGCCAAGATAGTTAAAAAGCCAATAAGGGTGGAAAAATGAAGTACATATTTCAAAATAAATTAAAAGATAAAAGTTTGTAAATAGATCTGATTCTAAAACTCTAAAAAATGAGCAAGAATGCTAGTTTACACAATCTCCATCCAGCATGGCCAATGGTCCTGCTTTATCCCTTAAATACACACACATACATATATCCCCAAAATACTCTGCCAAATTTTTGATTGTGGTTTTAACATTCTCTTCAAATCTTGTGGCACCTTTTCCTTAAACAGCACACTTGTGCATGATAGACAATTCGATTACAAGTACAATAAATAGCCAATTAAATCATAGAAGTTAAAATCAGCATTGCATCATGGTTAAAACCATAACAACTGATGATGGCAACAATGATAGCAAAATGGCAAATAAGATATAAGCAATTCTCACTTCGTAAGCATTTTAAAAAATTGCTTCACACTGACTTATTTAGATGTGCACATGAACAGACATTGCTGCTATCTACTTTTTAATTAGCACTGTACTTTAGGTTTTTATATATGTGTATTTTTCAGAAATTATTTTTTTAATATGAACCCGGCCAGTAATTTCTAATTTTAATTAAATTGTAATTTTAATGTGGATCTGGCCAGTAAACGGTCAGCTCCATCCTGACTCTACCCCGAATTAAGGAATGACAAAGTTGTAAAAAGATAATTTTATTAAACTATAATGATCTTGTAACCCACTGAATGGAGTCTGATTGGGATAGGTAACAAATATAATAAATAAATATATGACACACAAATGTGAAACAATAGTCTGGATGAACCAATAGTTCTTCAATTGATGTGGAAGCTAACACCAGTCACAACTGGACAAGAAATTTTCTGTAAATCTAAAACCAACCTAACTCTTTCACAAACCTAATTCTTTAATTGTGCCATAATCTATTTTCATTATAACGACATTGGAGACCTTGACAAGGGATTTGCTAGGTTTATAGAATATGTAGTTGTTTATTTATGTTATATGTGTATTTTTAAGAAATTATTTTAATCAAAATCTGGCCAGTAAATTTTAATTTTAATTAATTTTTAATGTGCCTTAGGCAGATAAATGTGCAGGGCCATCCAGTTGTCCCAACTCTACAGTGAATTAAGGGGTGACAGGGTCATAAAAAGGGTGTTTTATTATTCTATAGTGATCTTGTCGCCTGTTGAATGAGGTCTGATTAGGATAGGGAACAAATATAATACATATGAGATACCTATATTTATTTATTGTATGAAATGTTTCATATGAAATGTGAAGCAAGATTCTGGGTGTACCAATAGTTCTTCAATTGATATGGAAGCTAATATTTCAAAACCAGTCATAACTGGATAAAAAAATATTCTCTAAAGCGCCCCTAACTCTTTCACAAACCTAACTTTTATCATGTTGTAATCTATTTTCATTATAATGATATTGGAGATCTTGATGAGGTTTGCTAGGTTTATAGAATGTGTAGTTGCCATCACCAAGGCACTTTCTACCATTGCTGGTGGACCTGCCCCCAAGTGAAAAAATTCTGGAAAATGATCTGGAAATGGATTATGGAAATAATAAAAGATAATATTGATTTTGAACTGAAAATCTTTCTCCTGGGAATCCTGAAAACAGAATACGAAAAAAAGAAGAAGTATCTAATTATACATATAACGACAGCGGCAAGAATAACCTACGCTCAGTATTGGAAAGAGAAAAAACTACCACCCGAAGAACAAGTAATCAGGAAAATATTAGAGTGCGCCGAAATGAATAAGCTAACATTAGAACTTAACAAAAGAGAGAACACGGAATATTATAATGAGTGGGAGCTGTGGTATGAGTGGATAGAGAAAAGAAACAAAAAGTGAAGTTTGAAAAGTATAAAGGTTAACTAATAATGATCATAAAGTGTTAACTATTACTATGTGCATTACTGAATTAAGGTTGTAATCTATGTAAAGAACAAGTAAATAACATATATATATATATATGATCATAAAGAACTGTGCATTACTATTTGTAATTAATATCCAAATCATATGCAAGCAAAGATGCAATACTATGTAAATAATATGTAAATAATATGTATTTATATTTAACACCATGGAATCGAAAAATGTTGAATTGTATTTCTATATTTCACAATAAAAACCAATAAAAAAAAAAGAATGTGTAGTTGCCAATGGCTGTTCTAAACCAACAATGTCTGGGAGGAATGTTTTTTCCTCAAACATCTCATCATTCAGTGGCTGTGTGGCACAGTCAGGCACAGACAGAATTTATTTCACAATAAAACCCAAGCACTTACAGCAGCTAAACGCCTACTATATTTACATTTCTCCCAACTGTCATCTCCTTGAAGAAACTTTTTGTTTTGCTGTTAGTGGAAATCAGTGGGATAGTAGGTTCGAAAATCCCAAGGACCATGAAAGACATGAAAGAAAGAATTAGATGCATAAACATTACACCATGCACTCCACGGAAATAACAAATGCCGTTTAAGTCCCTCTTAAAAGAAATTCAACACGTTTGCCAGAAGAGCACATGCAAGCTGTTAAAGAGCATAGAGCCACATTAAAGCCAAGCATATTTATTGCAGCCCGAACATTTTCAGGCAATAGCCTGTTTTTAGAGATGGAAAATTATGGTAGAGAATAAAGCTCCATATGGTTGTGTCAATGGAGAGGAAAATGTTAACATAACTTTCTCGGATGCTACCACAGATGACTCTTGAACAATGTTTGTCAACCTTCTGCTTTGGAAAGACTAAATGGCTGAGAATTGACATGCAAAATTCTGTGCTTTAGAGAAGACATGCTTTGAGATGGCTCTCAGACAGTCATTATGGCTCTGCACAATATGGCCTCTCAAAATCTACTCCTCATGTGGTGGGCAATGAAAAGAGAACATCGTCCATCAGTTTCCTTTTAGTGTGATTTGCTATATATGCAGCACAGCAGCACAGTTTTGATATACAGTCATACTTCGGCACTTTACTGCTTCAAAACTCGTTGAATTCAGTATTGAGCAGAAATCTTGTCCCAGCAATTGGATTTCTCCTGGTAGTCGACGTGCAAAGAAGAACTTGCTGAGGTTGGCTGCATCATGACTTGCTATTTCTTCCAGTTGAAACAGCAGGTCACTTATTCACTCAGGTGGTTTTATTGATACTCGTCAGTTTTAGTTCTCATCATGTTTTCCAGAACAGATTATCAACAAAGACTGAGGTACAATTGTATTTTATACCATGTTGTCCTGGATGTGGTATTATTTTGTAGTAGGGGAAGGAGATATATTCTCCCTAAAAATATTTATGACTATGTGCCATTAAGTATTTTATAAATTGCTCCACACTGACTTATTTAGATGTGCACATGAACAGACATTG